CTCCCCGCAGCACTCCTCCCCACAACACTGCTCCTCCCCCCTCCCGCCCATCCTCCGCTCGCCCCGCGGCGCCCGGCGGCGGGACGGCGGCGGCGGCGCGGCGGCGCGGCGGCGTCACGTCTCGAGAGGCGCCTAGACAGGTCCCGAGAAGGTTCGGGGAGAGCTCCGAGAAGCTTCCGAGAAGCTTCCGAGAAGCTTCTCGAGGCGCGCCGTGCGACGCGCTCGACCGCTGCGAGCCGCTCCGCGCGGGCGACGCTGCGCGGCCCAGGTAGCACCTGTCGAGAGGCTCAGCGCGACGGCTCGGCGAGGGCGAAGGGGCAGGGCGGGGAGGCGCGAGCGAGGCGGTACGCACGGTGTGGGCGGCTCGTCTGCGCCCGCCTCCGCCGCCTCCTCCTCCTCCTGCTCCACCGCCTCCTCCTCCGCCGCCTCGGCTCCTTTGTCCGCCGGGCCGCCCTCCCGGCACGGTGTGGCTGGGGCGGGAGGGAGGGCAGCGCAGCCACTCTCAGGCGGAGCTCCAGAGGGCCCCGCCTCGACCTCTGCGGCCGCGGGCTCCGGCGGCTGCTGCTGCTGCTGCTGCGGCGGCGGCGGTGGCGGCGGCGGCGGCGGCTGCTGCTGCTGCGGCTGCTGCTGCTGCGGCTGCTGCGGCTGCTGCTGCGGCTGCTGATGTGGTGGCGGCGGTGGCGGCGACTGCTGCGGCGGCGGCGGCAGCCTCTGCTGCGACAGCTGCAGCGGCGGCTGCGGCGGAAACTGCGGCGGCGACTGCTCGGCAGTTGCCTCGTCGTCCTCACCCTCGTCCGCCTTCTCGGTGGCGTCGCCGTCCTCGTCAGCGCCGTCCTTAAAGCTGGAGGAGTTGGGCTCCGTGTCGCTGCCGCTGCCGCCGCCGCCGCCGCCGACTCCGCCTCCACCGCTGCTGCCGCCTCGCCCGCCTCGGCCAGCGCTGGCGGGCGGGGCGTCGGCACTGGCGGGGGCGGCACTGGCGGGGGCGGGGCGGAAGGGCGAGGGCGCCGCCGGCGCTGCGGAGGGCGCCGAGCCAGCGCGGCTGGCCGGGGATGGGTGCCCGGACCGGCCGGTCGATCCCGAACGGGCGATGGACTGCCGGTGCGCTTGCGAGGCCGCCCTCGCGGACGGCTGCAGCTGCGACTGTTGCGAGCTGGACGCGAGCTGCGACTGCGAGCCAAGCTGCGAGCGCGAGGAGCGGAGCGCGGAGTCCGCTACAGACGCGGTGGCGCCGCCCTCCACCCGCGGCAGCGACATCACCGACCAGTCCGGAGGCGTGCCTCGCGCGCCGCCGCTCCGCAGAGGTGTAGCGGGCGCGGCGGGATCGGCGTGCTGAGCAGAGCCCGGCGATGCCGAGGGAGCAGACGCCGGCTCGGATCTGGGCGCGGGCAGCCTGGAGTCGGCGTGCGCGTGATCGGCGGCAGCCCCGAGCGGAACGGCATCGGAGCTGCCCTCTAGATTGGACGCCGAAGCTGCCGCCGCCGGTGAGGCCGGCGGTGTCCGAGCAGGCGGCTCCTCCTCGATCTGCGTCTGGGACGTGACCCCGCCGCCCTCGGAGTTTGGACCGGCAACGGGGCTGAGCTCGAGCGCGAGTGAGTGGGAGCTTGTAGATGGGCTCATTCCCAGTTCAGCGGGTCGGTCGCTGATGTCTCTCGCGCTCAGGCTTGAAAAGAGAAACAAACCTGAGCCCGCGAGCAAAACACACGCTTCCCTGTGTTATATGTCGCGGGGGGGGCCTGCAGCGCCGGGGCCGAGGACACGCTTCCCTGGTCCCGAGTCCCTCTTTGGCGCGCCGGCCACCCTGCCAGTGCGGCACGCCGTCAGCAACGACTCTGAAGATTTCCTGTCGATCCTGCTGGAGGAGTTCGATCGCAACGCCTTTGAGATCGCGCTGCTTCCTCACGTCGCTCTCACCTGCAAGAGGGCGCTCGCATGCACGTACTATGCGCTGCGCGAGCGCCTCACCCCGCACCTGCGTGCCGCCACCCTCTCCGTCCGGCGGGGCGACGCCATCTGGAGCAACGCGCTCTTTGTAGCCAGGCTGCCCGGTCTGACGGACCTACGGGTGGAGGGCGAGACATGCCTGCCCTCGATGGACCTGGCGCGGTACAGGCGGCTGGACGCCCTGAAAGTCGGCTCGCTCGTGGGTGCCCTTGCCCCACCACCTCGTGTGTGTGGAGAAGTTTACCTTACCTTACCTTACCTTACCTTTTGGGTGATAATAGTGGTGTGATTGTGAAGTGGTGGTGGAGATGCTCCCACGGTGCCGAGGTGCCGACGCGGCGCCGGAGTGGCCGGCGCTGCTCACTACGACCACGACGGCTACTCTGATGCTCCAGGCCGGCCCGTCCTACCCGACGGTGGCACTCTTCCACGTCTCGCTCACGCTGAGAAAAATTCTGAAACGGCGTGCAGCAGAGTCACCGACGAGTTGGTCCGCGTGCCTCCTCGTGTCCCGTACCGTTCTCACACATCCATAAACTCACTTTGGCCTCACTGAAGCGATGCCTCTGAATCCTTAATCCTCGGATTTTAGATTAGGACGCACCGCAGCGTGGCAGCGTGGTGCACAACAAAACCTCCCATACGTGTTTGTCTCCTCCTTTCCTCGGGCTGTTCCATCTCCTCGTCTCTTTCCTACCTAGGCGGGGCGGGGGTCGGGGGGGCGGCGGGCGCGGGGTGCGAGGTGCGGTGCGGTGCGTGCAATCGTGTGTTTGGCGTTATGCGTTGTGTGTGCCTTCGCTCCGGATCAAGCACCGACCCCCTGTGAGACTATGGACGGTGCCTGGGGCTCGAGACTGGCTGGAATGGAACATCGGAAGAGCTTTAACAACGAACCTACTCACAACAAACTTCCACCGGGGACGCCGACAGCGATCAGCGTGTCAGCATTGAACAATCGCCTACTTTGCCGAGCTCCACCACCATGCTCTCCTTCTGTGCGACGCTACTTACGCGGTCGCCACCGTACGCCAACCCTTTCCACCAAGCCTTATCTCACCTAACCTCGCTGTTCAGCCGGCTTTCGCCCTGCCTCCCAGCTCACATCACCCGGTCGCCACGATTCGCCCTGCCTCGCAAGCCTCACTTCACCCTGTCTCGCCTGAGGGGTGGCCCGTCTACCGTCTACCGGTAGACCGGGTAGACGGTAGACCATTTGGTAGACGAGTCTACCGCAGTCTACCGGTAGACCGTAATGAACCTACGACACCAGTCTACCGGTAGACTTGGTAGACCGCGGTAGACTGCTACCACTTTTTCAGCCGCCGAACGGTAGACCGCCGCCGCCGGACGGTAGACCGCCTCGGCCAGTTGAATATGCAGCCTCCAGTTCTCCACTCTGGCGCCAATTTGGCAGACGAGCGCCGGCAGATGCCCTCGCGGCCTGCCGGCGAACGTCCGTCCGGCGAGAACGCGCGATGAAAGTGCGGTCTGCCGCGCGGGCGAAATCTGCCGGTGAGGAGAGAGGCTGTTGAGCGCGGTCGCTGTGAGCTTCACCTCATGCCATTTCCGTGCGAGCCGCGCTCCGTGTCTTTTATGAGATCAAATGAACGTCTTTACACACTCATCGGGGGGAACCGCTCACTGCAGAGCGCCGCCCTCTCGCGGCTCTCGAGGGAGAGCGAGTTTTCGCCAGACAGCCACACGTCCATTATGGCGCGCGTTCTCGCCGGACGGACGTTCGCCGGCAGGCCGCGAGGGCATCTGCCGGCGCTCGTCTGCCAAAGTGGCGCCAGAGTGGAGAACTGGAGGCTGCATATTCAACTGGCCGAGGCGGTCTACCGTCCGGCGGCGGCGGTCTACCGTTCGGCGGCTGAAAAAGTGGTAGGGATCCCTAGACCAGTCTACCGCGGTCTACCAAGTCTACCGGTAGACTGGTGTCGTAGGTTCATTACGGTCTACCGGTAGACTGCGGTAGACTCGTCTACCAAACGGTCTACCGTCTACCCCAGTCTACCCCAGTCTACCGGTAGACGGTAGACGGGCCACCCCTCAGTGTGTCTCGCAGGTCCCGCTCGTCACCTTCGACGGAGCTCCCGGTACCACCTTCACCTTCAACGAGCTGAACGACCCCGTCATGGCACATGGGCGGGTCGGCGGGTACACGTACTCCCGAGAGGGCGTAATGAATTTAGTAATGTGATGCGTATCTAGATATGGGCCTCCTTGCAAGTTGCATATGCGTAGCAGTACTGCTCGCGATTGCTTATACCTTATAGGAGCGTCGCGAGAACGCTACGGTACTGACTACTATGTTGCCTCCGACAGCTGGGCCGCGCTACACCAATCTACGCATCATCTCGATGCACTCCGCCTTCTTTCCGCCACAGTGCACCGCCAAGGTGTTGCCCGATGGTATCTGCAGTGCTCGAGCTTGATCGTTGAGATGAGACCGGACGCGGTGGTTGAAAAACCAGACGTTGAGATGTTTGCCACGCACGACGTTGCCATCGTACGGGAAGGCTTCCACGCGTACTCGCGGTGCGACGGGAGCAGTCGGATTCAACTTCTTGAGGGCGGTTGAGGCCAGGGATCTCTAGACACTACTGCCGCCAGGATCCTGCGCCACGGCTCATCACCAAATCCCGAGTTGCTCTCATTCCATCCCGCGCAATTGAGACGCAAAACATATGACGGGCGTAGATTCGACCTCCATCGAACTGGCGAAAATGCTCGTAGGCCAGCGATTCCGACACGTAGTTTCCTCCGAGCCGAGACGGCCGCTCTCGGAAGAGCCTTGCAAAGTGGGGATAGACGTCCGCGAAAATGTCGTACTGCCTTGGCTCGCCGACTGCGAAGCCATCCGATTCGAAGTAGAACGTTTTGTTCAAATCAATGGTGCGCAGATCAACGAAGGGTACGCCAAATGCGGTGTCGGGGCGCATACGAACGACGTGCGTGTAGCGCACATTGTGCGTGTACTCGTATTCGGATCGCATGCGGTTCGAAATGTAAATGCCGCGCCACATGGCGATGCGGTTGACTGACGACTTGTGAATAACAGCGCGCTCGTAGGTGTCATGTGCCTGCATTCGCGAATACTCCGGGAATTCGGAAATTAGGAAGTCGCGAATTTGTCTAGTGAATGGTATGGCGACCAGCGCCTTTGACCACGGCTGAGCCCGCATCCATTCGACTGTGGCCTCGTCGGCTTTGGCAACATGCAGATACGAGAAGACGTCCGCATCGTTCGGGCGTTGAATTGAGGCGACAAAGTTGGACGCCAATCGCTGAAAGCTCCGCAACTCACCCGACATGCAGATGGCGACGCGGGCAGCTGCGAGAGGAGGCGAGGGCGGTGGGATTGGCCGAACGCGTTCGACTCTCCATGCTGCTGGTGGCCTCTTATGCGAGCACGCGAGCGACAAGTTGGCGTGGTGATACCACCGACAGGAATGCTGCCGCGCATTGTTAGTGCTGCTTGCGACAGTTAAGCAGCGTGGGCAAGAGCGACAGAGGTGAACGCATGCGTCGTGTGACGGCGCGTCAAATTCGCCATAAAGGGTCAACGGCATATCACATCCAGACGACGAGGGCAGCTTCAGCTGCTTCAGCAGCAAATTCCAATCAACTCGCGGCGGATGCCGGCGCACGGACTGGTTGACCTGCTGCAAGTAGGTGACGGCGCGCCCATGCCACTTATGTGGCGGCTCGAAAGTGGTGCAGGATGCCCAACAGAAGCAGCCCATTGGCAGGCGTAGCGTAAACGCAACACTGTCTGCGCAAAGCATGGCACACGTGTCGACGGCGCTGGCGTCGTGCTCGCGGTAGGCGCCAGCGAGTGTCTCATTTCGCCGGCAATGCCGCTGCACACAACGCCAGTCTGCCTGGCTGGAGCACTTGAGGCCGACTCGAGCTTGGCTGTCCAGCAATTGCCGCGAGCCGGAATGCGCGGGGAGCGTTGGCAGAGCAGCGGCAAGTGAGCCCAAAATCGTCAGCATGACCATGCCCCCCCCCCCAACGCTCAGATAAAAGAAAACGAGCCGCGCGATTAGGTGGCCTGTAGGCTTGGCTGCAAAGGGGATTTTCGCGTTTTGTTTTTTTGCTCACAAAAGCGGGCGGCGTCTCGTGCTCGCAACCCTCTCCGAGGTCGTGCTTGACCGCCCTCGAGGTCGTGCTTGACCGCCCGCCGGTCGCCGTCCCGGCGCGAGATGCAGCCGGGCTTGCCGTCGTCCAGCCCTTTTTGCTTCGGTTCGTCGGCAACGACGCGCCAGTCCTGGCGCAGCCGCCCCGCCGTGCGCGCAGCCGCCCCGCCGTGCGGTCCACGGCCTTGCAGCCCGTCGACGCGCCCGACGACGTGACCGCGGCCGAGATGGAGGCCTTCATGCATCACACCGAGTCGAGCTTGTACCAGCCGCCCGACGACAGCGACATCGCCCACGAGTTCATCGAGTGGCAGGCGGCGCGCCGCGAGACGTTGCGGGCCGCCGATGCAGGCCGCCCTCGCGACTCGCAGGCCGACGTCGCCGCACCCGACGCCGCCGGCGCCGACGATTCGCCCGACACGCCTCGCGCCTCCGGCGAGCCCTCGCCCGCGACAACCAGACGGGGCGCGCGACTCTGCCCGCACCTGCGCCGGCGGCGGCGGCGTCCGGCCGCCGCCGCCGCCGCCGCCGCCGGAGCAAGCCGCTCGCCGGCGGCGGCGGCGACATCAAGGAGACAACTCGGAAGTCGAGATGGACGCGCTGATGGTCGAGCGGCCCTCTCTCTCTCTCTCTCTCTCTCTCTCTCTCTCTCTCTCTCTCTCTCTCTCTCTCTCTCTCTCTCTCTCTCTCTCTCTCTCTCTCTCTCTCTCTCTCTCTCTCTCTCTCTCTCTCACCTGAGGGAGGGTGTAGAATGTAGAGCGCTGTATACTCGAGTAGCTCTCTCTGACTGACTGATCGAGCGAGCGAGGGCGCCGAGGGGTCCCGTACCATGCGGAATCAACCCTATCCAGTGCTCAAGTGCTCAAGCTGTAGAGCTGTAGAGCGCTGAGTGTAGAGCTGTAGAGCTCTACATCCGGCGCGGGACGGACTGCCTGCGTTGTAGTATGTAGAGCGATGTAGAGCGCGAATTCACAGTGAAATCACTATAAGTAAATAGGCTAGTTCCATTTCACTGTGGCACAGCTCGCGTTACAAAACCTTGATTTTGACCATTGCGCGAAAAAGGTACATCTCGGTGCCTTCCAGAGGCAGCTGCGACCCCGCCGAGTAGACGGTTGCTCACAGCAGGTGGCGCGGTGTGCAACCGTCCACTCGGCGGGGTCGCAGC